GAGAGCAGAGCAGGCAGACCTACGAAATACACTGCTGAGGGGAGCAGCGGGTGGCAGGAGAGGTCTGTGCGCCATGTGGGACCCTCGCCTGGCGGCTGGGGATCGAACCGGCCCTGCAGAGGCTGCGGGCAGCTTTGCAACCCAGCGCTCAACCACTGCGCCACCTGGGAGGCCCCAACCCAAATTTCTTATCCATAGCTTTAGCTATGCTTAATTCTTTTAAAAATATTTCAGGGGTGGTATTGTTAAAACTTCCCTCCAAAATATAATATTTGGATTCCCAGGAGTGTTTAACCTAGAAACTGGTTTATAAAGAAGGAAATATTTTTCACAAGCAGAAAGAAATTTACAGAGAACTTGAATTTTTGAGTTGTAAATAGTAACGGAAAGGCAACTTTATTTTTTTATTTTTATATTTCAGTAGCACTGCCTGTTCTGCTCCCTACTCTGTCTCTGGAAAGGCAACTTTAAATGTGAATCAGTGACTAACTATGAGGGAATTGATTTTTTTTTTATAATAAATTTTATTTTTATATTCCCCATACAATTGCAACCCCCCCATTCTGATCCCAATCCCTCCCCTCCCGCCCCCCACCCCAAAAAGTGTCTCTGGTTCATAGTTTTTTGTTGATTTTGATTTTCACTTTCTTATAGTTATTCATTTTCCTGGTCCCTTATTTAAGGTTTCTAGATTCCTGCTATGAGTGAGACCATCCGGTATTTTTCTTTTTCTTTTTGGCTTATTTCACTGAGCATGATCCCTTCCAGCGCCATCCATGTTGCTGCAAATTGCATGTGTTTATCTTTTTTGAATGCTGAGTAATATTCCATGGTATATATGTACCACATCTTCTTGATCCAGTCATCTATTTTTGGGCATTTGGGCTGTTTCCAAAGCTTAGCTATTGTAAACAGTGCTGCTATAAACATAGGTGTGCAGGTGCTCTTTGGAATTGATGTTTCTGTGTCCTTTGGGTAAATACCTAGCAGTGGAATTGCTGGATCATATGGAAGCTCTATGTTTAGTAGGTCAAGAAATCTCCACACAGCTCTCCATAGTGGTTGGACCAGTTTGCACTCCCACCAACAGTGCAGGAGAGTTCCTTTTTCTCCACAACCTCGCCAACATTTGTTGTTGCTAGTTTTTTTAATATGTGCCATTCTCACTGGTGTAAGATGGTATCTCATGGTAGTTTTGATTTGCATTTCCCTGATGACAAGTGATGTTGAACATTTTTTCATATGCCTGTTGGCCATTAGCATTTCCTCTTCAGAGAAGTTTCTTTTTAGCTCTTCTGCCCATTTTTTGACTGGATTATTTTCTTTGTTGTTGTTGAGTCTCATCAGCTCTTTGCAGATTTTTGTGATCAGTCCTTTATCATTAGTGTTGGGTGCAAAAATGTTCTCCCAGTTGGTGGGGTTTCTCTTTGTTTTTGTTATTGTCTCTTTTGCTGTGCAGAAGCTCTTTAATTTGATGTAGTCCCAGCTGTTTATCTTTGCCTTCACTATCACTGCTTTGGGTGATGTATCTGTAAAGATGTCTTTGATGTGCAAATCACGTAGTGTTTTGCCTATATTTCCTTCTATGTATTTTATGGTTTCAGGTCTTATGTCTAGTTCTTTAATCCATTTTGAGTTGATTTTTGTGTATGGTGTGAGGTAGTGGTCAAGCTTCATTCTTTTGCATGTAGCAACCCAGTTTTCCCAGCACCATTTATTGAACAAACTTTCTTTGCTCCAATGCATAGTCTTTGCTCCTTTGTCAAAGATTAGTTGACCATAAATCTGTGGGTTTATTTCTGGATTTCCTATTCAATTCCATTGGTCTGTATGTCTGTTCTTGTTCCAATACCGTGCAGTTTTGATGATTATGGCTTTGTAGTATAGTTTGAAGTCTGGGAGTGTGATGCCTCCATTCCCTTCTTTCTTTTTCAGGAGAGCTTTGGCAATTCGGGGTTTTTTGTGATTCCATATGAATTTCATCAATAATTGTTCTATTTCTTTGAAGAATGACATTGAAATTTTGATTGGAATAGCATTGAATCTGTATATTGCTTTTGGTAGGATGGCCATTTTAATAATGTTTATTCTTCCAATCCATGAGCAGGGGATGTCTTTCCATTTCTAAAGAACTCAAAGAAACAACCTAATCTCGAAGCTCAAAGATCTAGAAAAAGAACAACAAAAAAACCCCAAAGCCAGTAGAAGAAAAGAAATAATAAAAACCAAAGCAGAAATAAATGAAATTGAAACTAAAAAAACAATCCAAAAGATTAATGAAACAAGAGCTGGATCTTCGAAAAATCAATAAAATAGACAAACCCCTAGCCAGGCTCACAAAGGAAAAAGGGAGAAAGCACAAATAAACAGGATCAGAAATGAAAGAGGAGAAATCACAACGGACACAGCAGAAATAAAAAGAATAATCAGTAACTACTATGAAGAGTTGTATGGAAACAAGTTCAACAATCTAGAGGAGATGGACAAATTCCTACAACTCTACAATCACCCAAAGCTAGATAAAGAAGAAATAGAACACCTAAACAGATCAATTACAAGCAGCGAAATTGAAATGGTAATCAAAAACCTCCCCAAAAACAAAAGCCCAGGACCTGATGGATTTACAAATGAATTCTACCAAACATTCAGAGATGAATTGGTGCCTATCCTTCACAAACTCTTCCAAAAAATTGAGAAGGAAGAGACAATACCAAACACATTCTATGAAGCCAACATTACACTAATACCAAAACCGAATAAGGACAACACAAAAAAGGAAAACTACAGGCCAATCTCCCTAATGAACACTGATGCAAAAATCCTCCACAAAATTTTAGCTATCAGAATCCAACAATGTATCCATAAGATAATTCACCACGACCAAGTAGGATTCATTCCAGGGACACAAGGATGATTTAACATCCGAAAATCAATCAACGTTATCCAACACATCAACAAAAAGAAATATAAAACCATATGATAATATCAATAGATGCTGAGAAAGCTTTCGACAAAGTGCAACGCCCATTCATGATAAAAGCCCTTGAAATTCTTGGGATACAAGGAACATACCTCAACATCATAAAGGCCATCTATGAGAAGCCAACAGCCAGTATCATTCTCAGTGGTGAAAAGCTGAAAGCAATTCCATGAAGATCTGGAACAAGACAAGGATGCCCACTCTCCCCACTGCTTTTCAATATAATACTGGAAGTCCTAGCCAGAGCAATAAGACAAGAGAAAGACATCCAAGGAATCCAAATAGGAAAAGAAGAAGTCAAACTATCACTATTTGCAGATGATATGATCATATACATAGAGAACCCCAAAAACTCCACAGAAAAACTAATTCAACTCATCAATCAGTTCAGTAAAGTGGCAGGATACAAAATCAACACGCAAAAGTCAGTAGCCTTCCTATACACAAACAATAAATCTGAAGAAGAAGAAATCAAAAAAACCATCCCTTTTATTATTGAAACAAAAAATATCAAATATTTGGAATAAATCTAACAAAAGAGGTAAAGGACCTATACAAAGAAAACTATAAAACACTGTTAAAAGAAATAGATGAGGGAATTGATTTAAACCTTACTTTTGTTATTTATGAAGAACATCATTAATTTTTTGTTAATTGAAATCCCTTTATATGGCACATCATCTATGTAGGATAATTCTGAAAAGATTCACAGGTCCACAGATTTGTATTGAATCTGAGGGCAAGTTAGGGAGAATTAGGCAGCCTCAAGGACAGTGCAGGTGGGGACCTGGGGAGAATTAAGGAAGGCTTCAGTGATAAGGGCAGCAAGAGGAATGTGGTAATGCTGGCCTTGGTTTCTTCAGGTGATAAAGGATGGTGGAATTGGGGAAACTGAGAGTGGGTTAATTAGGGCAGCAGACTCATTTATGCAAGGGGGAGATGAGAAGGGGTCAGCACTGAGACCAGTGGGCGCCAGCCTGGTTTTTTTCTTCAATAGCTGATGCTTGACTTTCTCTTCCCTAAAATAAAGGGGTGCTCATTTGGGAGACTGGGTCATAAAGATAAAGCTATCAAACAAGGGGGAAGATGCAACAAATGGGGAAAGACAAACCTGTTAGATAAGAAATGTAAAGATCCCCCGCTCAGTAGCAAATTAAGTGAGACAGCCGAGAACTAACCAATCACAAAGAGACTGGTGGAGCTTCAGAATAATTAGGGAAAGAAGGTATATATTCCCTGAGATACGACTCCACTTTGGCTTCCTTGCCCCTCTCTAGCCTGGTTTCATGGCCTGGGAGTCCCGCTTTATTTCTGTTCCTTTTCTCCTCAATAAACTTTTTCTTTTTCTAAACAAACCTGCCTCTTCTCGCTTGCTTGCCTGAGCGTCTGTGAAGTTCCTGCTGCGGCTTCGTGAGACACCAACCCGTGGGGGTCTAGTGGCTGGGACTCAGTGCTGCCCATGCAGCCTGGGATCCGTTCCTGGCTGGGAGACTAGGCCTGACAATTCTGGTATCAGTATTGTAGATGACCATTCTTAGATACTCACAAACTCAGTATTACTTTATTGTTGTTGTGCAGTGGCTGCTGCACCCCCCCTGCAGTGACCCTCAGGGCTAATGGCTGTTGCCATGGTCCCTGAGGTCCGGCGTGGGCAAGGAACCATGCGCGCAGGGGGAGAACAGCAAACTCCCTAAGATGCAGAGAAGCCGAATGCCTGCCAAGAAATAATGACCACCAGAAGCTGCCACAAAGATGATTAAAAGAAATGCTGACCACCTGGAATCTCGATCTCGCTACAATTCTTTCAAGGTCATCCACATAAAGCTACTTGATAATGCTGCTCTTTTCGATCACCACTGTCTTGCTCAAATTCGTCATTCTTTTTTTTTTCTCTGGTTCATGTGATTGCAAATAAATAATGCCTAAAAAACATACCTAATTTATAATTAGGTTAATGCAAATGAAACATTACTAAACACTGTGTTATAATAGAATTGTTAGTTTAATAATCTTTCTATTATGTGCTTAACTTTAGTACCTTTGATATTAACTGCATTATAAAATAAATTCACCCATGACAATTAATTATGAGTAAAAATGATAGTTAGTGCAACTAGAAAATAATTATATAAAACAGTAGAAAGAACTTATAGCCTGTCCAATTAGGAATGAGGCTAGGTCCAGATGTAACTTCGGACATAAATCACTGCCCTGTCAATTAAGCTAAGTCTATGAGCAAACTGATCTCTTTGATGTTCACTGTTCCTATGCTTTTAGAAAAACATATATATACTGACCACTAGCTTAATAAAGATGCACTCAGATTTTCACTCTCTTGAAGTGTGTCTGTGTGTCATTTATTCATCGAATCCCTGACCACCCTGCGCAGTCTATCAACCCTGAGACGGCCTCATCGTCCATCGCTGTGCTGGTCCGCGGCAAGTGGCCAGACTTATTTTCCCAGACTTTCAAAAAGTAAAGTGATGTGTCATGAACAGAGGCACAGCATTCCTATTTCGTCCTTGATAAAACCTGAATTCTTTCTTGTTACCACTCAAGGCCCAAATGCTGAGAGTCCTGGCTCTTTGTTATCTTTGGGCCTCTGGCAACATCTTTGTTCCATTCTTGTCAGGACAGCAAGCACATGCTGTATAGAACACTGAAACAGAGGGAACCTGGTGTAAACAACATATTTGCATATTTGAGATAGAACATTAACTTAGTTTTATACTGTAGCATTCTATTCCTGGGAACATGTTTATAACACTAATCCCTTCTAGTGTTTTTTTTGACACTATCCCCCTTACCATCCTCCTTATTAAAAATCTATTCAGTTCTAGCCCAAATGCCCAAAAATAGATGACTGGATCAAGAAGATGTGGTCCATATACACCATGGAATATTACTCAGCATTCAAAAAAGATAAACACATGCAATTTGCAGCAACATGGATGGCGCTGGAAGGGATCATGCTCAGCGAAATAAGCCAGAAAGAAAAAGAAAAATACCGGATGGTCTCACTCATAGCAGGAATCTAGAAACCTTAAATAAGGGACCAGGAAAATGAATAACTATAAGAAAGTGAAAATCAAAATCAACAAACAACTATGAACCAGAGACACTTTTGGGGGGGTGGGGGCGGGAGGGGAGGGATTGGGATCAGAATGGGGGAGTTGCAATTGTATGGGGAATATAAAAATAAAATTTATTATTTAAAAAAAATAAAAAATAAAAATTAAAAAAAAATAAACCTTAAAAAAAAAAATCTATTCAGTTCTGGGCCTCCCTGGTGGTGCAAAGGGTTGAGACGCAACCTATAAAGCTATCCCCAGCCACTGCAGCATGAGTTCAATCCCCCGCCGGCCAGGGAGCAACCCACATGGCACGCAGACCTCTCCTGCCATGTCCGCTGCTCCCCTCAGCAGTGTATTTCATCAGTCTGCCTGTTCTTTTCCCCGCTGTTTCTGGTGAATCCTTTCACCACCCACCCCCCTGCCACTCCCGAACCTCTGGCCTGTACCCCAGCTCTTGTATGCATAAAAATAAAAATAAATCTAAAAAAAAAAAATCTATTCAGTTCCTCTTCCTCCAACTAGACTCTGATGGTTTGGAACTGTTCTGGATAAAAATACCTAACACTTGAGCCCATAGCTGGCATGGTATTAGATACCCTACGTGCACAATCTCACTTACTTCTTATGATATCATTACCATATTATTCCAATGTTAAGTTGAGATAATATAATTAGAAAAAGGTGAGAAAACTGATTTCAAGGTGAGATTACCTCATGAACTAAACTGTGAGCAGGCAGGAGGGGGCTGTCCATCAGCCTGTTCAAACAGGTGGATAAAACACAAGCTGGCAGGTTGCGGCCCGACACCTTGTTTAAATCTTGTTTAAACAGCCTGTCCCATCAGCCTGGCCTAGACAAAAGGTGCTATCTCCTGACTAATGATTGTTTCACCAGGATCCTGCATTTGCAGTTAATACAATTCTTGACCAAGGATAACCAAGGTCTCATTTGCATGATAAAACATACACCCATGGGTGAATACTTATGATGCTAACTTGTGACACTGAAGTAGCACTGAACCCAACTGCACATGCCCCAGTGTTGCCTAGCCCCAAACATATTGTGATGCTGCTCCTCTTGCTCCCCTCTGCTCCCACTTGTTAGACCCACCTTTTAAAAATCCTTTCCTAGTTCCATCAGGGGAGCCAGGCTGGAAATTTTCTCTTTCAGAAGAGACAAGCCTCCATTGTTGGAGAATCAGCCCAACAAACTTGTTTGGATGCATGATCTTCTGTCTTTTTGTTAAAATCTTTATCAAAGAAAGTAAAAAATGGCAAGTTCAGTAGCAAAAGAAGTGAGATAACTTGCTTGTATTGACACAGTCACTAAGCTCCAGTTTATTTAGGCTTGCCTGACTCCCTAGCATACTCTCACGCTGCTGCACTTATCCTTATATGATGCTATCAATTCCAGAAGTAGCTAGTAGTTCCAGCCTGTTAGTTTTGAAACAAAAACAGGCCTTTGTGATTTGGCACCATGTAAGTACTACTAGCTGCCTCACTAGCTTCTGATTTTCCTTGAGTTGAGTTGGTCTTCCTTGAGCAAGATTTATATGCCCATATAAAAACTCTGAGTATAGGGCCTCCCTGGTGGTGCAAGCGGTTGAGTGCAGCACTGTGAAGCTGTCCGCAACCTCTGCAGTGCGGGTTCCATCCCAGACGGCTGGAGCAAAACCCACATGGCACAGCAGACCTCTCCTGTCTCACCTGCTGCTCCCCTCAGCAGTGTATTTCGTCAGTCTGCCTGATCTGTTCCTCCCTCTGTCTGTGGGGAATCCTCTCAACCTCCCGCACATCTGGCCTATACCCCAGTTCTTGTATAAAAATAAATCAATCTTTAAAAATAAATAAATAAAAACTCAGAGTATAAATACACATTTTAAAAGACAATTGGCAATTTTTATGGGCAATTTTTACTAACTGCTTTTCTTGCTATTTATTGCTTACCTTAAACAATTATCAGATTTAAGATCCTTACTCTATTTTCATGATTTCCAAACCAGGACTATTGGAAGAGGAGGATCCAATACTTCCAAAATACAAACATAATGTAAATCAATGTTGCCTCAATCAAAAACAAAGTGTTAATAGCAAAAAAGAAAAAAAAAGTTGTAGGCTACCTATTCAAAGGCACCCCCTTCCATTTGAAATTCAACATAAGCAACCAATTCAAACCTTCTCTCTCAAAAGCATTCTCCCCTTTATTCAATAAACACTACAAGAATGAAGAATGGACGTGGGAATACAAAGATGAGTTAAGTCTGTGCCAGCAGGTAACAATACGCTGTGGGATGCAGATTTGTTCTCGAACAGAATACAACGTGCTTCAGTTCTGGAGATGGATGCCCGGGGCTGTTGGGCTCAGCTGCAGATCTTGCAGCAAAAGAACGTGTGCTGTTAACGCTGCTCCAGGAGAAGAACGTCCACGTTTAATTTAATATTCGGTGACTGAGGAAAAGCTACAAGCCATCGCATCTCTGCTCGTGCTTCCCCCTGACAGGGCAGAACGCACAGAATTGGCTCCCTTTGGGGCCACAAAATCAGAAACGGGCGGTCGAGCCGCGCGAGGGGAAGCGCAAGCTATTTGGGGGTGACCAACACGTGAGGGTCAGCAGCAACAGTTGAGCCTAACGGGGCACTTTTCTCCTAAACGTACAAGGCCAGACGTCACTGGGGTTCAACAGCACGTCATCAACACGCACAAAATTGGCTCCCTTTGGGGACACAAATTCAGAGGCGGGCGGTCGAGCCGCGCGAGGGGAAGCGCAGGCTATTTGGGGGTGACCAACACGTGAGGGTCAGCAGCAAAAGTTGACCGCAACGGGGCACTTGTCCCCTAAACATACAAGCCAGACGTCACCGGGGTTCAAGAGCACGTCATCAACACGGCTCTGCGCGGAGGCGGCAGCGGCGTGGCCGCCAGCCCAGGCCTCCAAGTTTCAGGGGCGGCGCAAATCCCGGGCCCCTTTTCCGGGAGTGCAGCCGCCCGGGCCCGGCCGAAAAGACCCGGCGGCCGGACCTCGGGGGGCCGTTGGAACGCGCCGTAGGGGCGCTCGCGTCACGCCCAGAGCGGACGCACAAACCTACGTCACCGAGCTCTCCTCGAGGCCCCGCCCACTCCCCTCCGGCGTCGGCGCCGAGGGGGCGTGGCCGGGAGGCGGCGAGCTGGCTGCGCACGCGCCCTCGGGAGCCAGCGCCGGAGCCAACTAGCGCTCTCGCGAGGGTTGAAAGTCGGTGGCGTAGATAGTGGTCGCGGCGCTGGCGAGCGGGAGGCTGCCCCGAGGCGGAGAGCAGGCCGCGACGCCCGCTGCCCGCCGCGCCCGCCCTCCGGCCCCGCGTCTCCCGCGCCCGCCCTCCGCCCTCGGGGCCGCCGCCCGCCTTCCGTGACCCCCGCGCCCCGGCCCCCGCCCCCTCCGCGCCGCGCTTCCCGCCGCGAGGTGAGGCCGGCGGGCCGCGGCGGCGAAGAGCGCCGAGCGGGCGGCTGTGGGCGGCGGGCGCGTCGCGGAGCCGCGGCGCCGGGCCGCGCCAGGCCTCGCTCCCCCGCCGCGCCGGGCGCCGTCGCCCGCCGGGCCTCGGCCTCGGCCTCCTGCCCCGCCGGCCGCGCCGCGGGTGACGCAGCCGCGCAGCATGTCGAGCGCGGCCGAGCCGCCGCCGCCGCCGCCCGCCGAGAGCGCGCCCCCCAGGCCCGCGGCCGCCGGCGGCGGGAGCGGCGGCGCCAACAAAGGCGGCCCCGAGGGCGCCGCGGCCCCGGCGGCCCCGGCCGCGGCGGGCGCCGGCCCCGCGGACCCCGAGATGGAGGTGAGCACGGCGGGCGCGCGGGGAGGGGCGCCGGGGGGCGCGGGGCCGCGGCCGCCTCGGGTCGGCGAGCGGAGCCCCGGGCCCGCGCGCCACGTTCCCGGCGCGCTCGCGGGCAGGTGGCCGTGGCCGCCGCGGCCCAGGGAAATCTGCGGGGCCTCCCCCCCCCATTTTCTTGGTAGAGTCCCCCGCCCCTCGCCGCCTCTGAGCCTGGCCCGGGGCGGGGGCGGGCGATGCCCCGGGGCCGGGCCGGGCGGGCGCGGCGTGGTGGAGCCCGCGGCGGGGCCGGGCCTGGCCCGGGCCCGGTGCTGGCGGGGGCGGCGTCTGTTCTGGGCAGAAACAATGGCGAGCGCCGGCAGGCCCGAGGCGCGGTGGGGACCCGCGGGGCGCAGCTGCTCCCCCGAGGCGCGGGAGGCCCCTCCCAGGCGCCGTCCTCGGGGAGCGGCGCGAGGAGGCCGCAGCTGCTTGGGGCCCCCCTCTCTAAAGGGGTGTGGGGGGGCCCGCGGAGGGGCGCCCGGTGGGCCTCGGGGCCCGCGCGGTGCCTCCTCCTGGGCCTCGCCTGCTGGGAGCGGCCGCGGGGCCCGCCTTCTGGCCGGCGCGGCCGGGTGGTGACACGCCGCGGGGGTGGGAGGGTTGGGGACCCGCCAGGCGGGTCTCCGGGGTGTCCTCCAAGGCCTCGCGATGTCGGGAACGAAGTGGGGACTTTCTCCTTCCAAATCGTGTTCTTCGCCAACTTCGATCTGGTTTGAGACCTTTTGTAGTCGTCGCGCACGGGGTCTGGGGTTTCTCCGTCCGTAGACGCGGCGGGGGCAGCTGCTTTGAACGGGAGCCTCGCTGCGGGGATGGGGCCGGGCCGGGCCGCGGCCGGCGGGGTGGTGAATGCGGGCCCCGGGGGTCTAACCCGGGGGAAGCAGCCGTTTGCCGGCTGGTGTTTGGAAGAACTTTTGGTGGGAAGGCGGCCAGGCTCTCATCTCGTGTCGGGGTTTGTAACTCCGTGATTTGAGATTGGTTTCAGATTAATTGTTGAATGTTGCAGTTTTCCCCTTGAGGTGCTGCAGCGGTTCTTCTGGATTCCTAGGCCGCTTTCTTTCTCTCGGGTTCCTGCTCTGTGGCTTGGGGGTTGTGACGGGTTGTGCCAGCCTGTGCCGCGGGAGACAGCTGTGTGAGTGTGCAGTCGGGGCCAGTCGTGGTTTTCACCGGCTTTGCACCAGGGTCTGTCACTCAGATTTTGGAATGGCAGTGAGCACCCGCAGGCAGCTCATCGGGATCGCCATCAGGATATGGCTTTCGGTTACTGTTTTAAGTTGAAGTGGAATTAAAGTTTAAATATGACTGTTGATGGTGGTGCCCACTACCATTTGAAATCAGTGATGTTTTTGTTTGCCAGATGAGGACATTTGCGTCTTCTCTGAGTAGACGGCACTGGAACCAGCTCTGACTCCGCAGTGGACTCAATTCCCTTGTATCAGGCCCTTTGGTAGTATCACAGGAAGGGTTTTTTTTGACAGTTTTATTTACTCAAAAGTGACTCATTTTTACCTTCTTGGTGTAGGAATATCAGTAATTTTATCAGTGCCCCTTGCCACTGGCTAATGTTAGTTTTTTGGGTTTTTTTTCCCCTGGGAGGGTGGGGGGAGGTGGATGTATTCTCAGTTTACTTAACAGAAACGAGAAATCATTTCATTTCTTTGGATAATAACTAGGTTTCAGTGCACACATAAGATATGTTACAATTTGTTTCACAGTCAAATAAACTTTTTAAAATGCTTTTTCTTGTTGGAAAGTGCAATTTAAGTAAAGTTTTTGCAAAATCAGGAAGTAAGTGAAATCTTGCATTCATCAGTTTTTTCCTGACAGCAGATCTTCCCAGAAATGTTAGTCCTTCTGTGCTTCCAGTTAATTTTTCCATTTTTTGTTTGGGATACATACAGGTCAAGGGAGCAGTCGGTTTTTATTTCATTACAGTATATTTTTTGGCAGTGTGGAGCCTGTCTTTGTTCATCTTCATCTCACTATTGACTAGATTGATAGCTAAACTGTGGGCAGATACAAGTCCGATGCAGACAGGCATATGGTAAGCCAAGAGTTCTGGTGTCCAGATTTTTTTTTAACTATAAAAGACATAATGGGCACTGCTAGAAAATACATTTTTTAATGTTTTCATGGTAGTCCAGTTGCATTTTGTGAAGTAGACCAGAAGGTGATTGTCTTTTTTACCTGTGGAGACGAGAGGTTTGTCTCCACCAGGTTAAGTAGATTCCCTAAGGTCTTGGCAAGGAAGTTAAACCAAATTTAGATCATATAACCACTTAGTATACTTACTGTACCAGTTTCTCTCCCGCCATACCTGTTTCTAATCTCAAATAGCTTTATTATAGTGAATATTGCCATGTGCAGATTTGTACATCACTAATGAATATCATGCTTTTTATCAGTTTCTAACTTTTTTTTTTTGAAATTCAGTTTCATTTTCTTTTTTCTTTTTTTGAAGATTTATCCATTTATTTATACAAGCACTGGGTACAGTCAGAGGCGCAGGAGGGTGAGAGAATCCACCAGAGCCAGAGTGGGGAGCAGAGCAGGCAGAAGGACCGAAGTACACTGCTGAGGGGAGCAGCGGGTGGCAGGAGAGGTCTGTGCGCCATGTGGGACCCTCCTCCGGTGGCCCGGGAGCAGCCGGGGATCTAACTGGCGCTGCAGAGACTGCGGGCAGCTTCGCAACCCAGCGCTCAACCGCTGCGCCACCGGGGAGGCCAGTTCATAACTTTTTTTAATGGATAATTGAAACTTCAAGTGAAGTTGTTGCTGATACTTGTTATTCATGGCATTTAATTAAAAGAGTATCAGAGTGAATATATTTGTGAAATTTACTACCAGTTTGGGAATCAGGTTGTAGCTAAGGATTATTCAGTTTAGCTTGCATGATGACTTTTTTGTAATATTCCAGAAGCTGGAAATCAGGGTGGCTCATATTGCTACTCCAGGTATACATCTGTGTAGTATATATAATTTACATATATATAACAGAACAGTAGATACCTGCAGTTTTGTGATAAAAAGGGAACATTTTGCACATCTTATGTATTTGGATTAAATAGGTTGTTGGCTTTATGGTATTTATTTTAGGTAAGGTAACATTGGTTTATAACCCTGTATATGATTTAGGGGAATAGTTTTATACATAACTCCTCAGATGTCTTTATGGTATTTACTTTCATCTGCATTTCCTATTAGGTTGGATGATAGTTATTTAAATATCTAGCAAGTTTGGTATAGGAATGTATTACTTAAAATGTTTTAGGCATATATCAATCTAATGATGGTATGTTTACTGTTTTTGAAGAATAATTCCATTATTTCTCCCCCCTACCCTCAGGAAATATTTGATGATGGGTCTCCAGGAAAACAAAAAGAAATCCAAGAACCAGATCCTACCTATGAAGAAAAAATGGTATGTTCTAGGCATGTGAATAGAATCTATAGTAACATTTTATTGGGTGATTAAATGTACCAATCTTCTGTTTTGTTTTTAAACTGACACATACCCATATGTGTGAAACATATTCCTCATATCTACCCCATACATCTACTTAGTGTTATCTTAGTGAGTGAAAAAAAGTTCCTCTTAACAGGTACCCAAACTGTTCCTGATAATACCTCATAATGTTAATAGTCTTGGAAGTTTAACCTCATAAACATTTCTCTTTTCCCATCACCTAGTTCAGTCTCTCTCCATTGGGTGGATTATTTTGTTTGTTTATTTGCCTCCTTTCTTGTGATCTGACCTCTTAGCTCTCTTCATGTTTTTGCAGGGTAGTATTTGTGACACAAATCTGATTAAGTAATGGAAGCTTTCAGTGGTTCTTTACAATGCTTGTCATCTTTATGATGACCTTTATTGCAAGACTTTGCTCATTTCTTCAAGTTTTTCAGTCTCCTAGTTTCATTTCTCATTTTGCAACAGCATGATCTTCACTTTAACACTTTTCTTCTAAGGTCGTTTAATATGGTATCATTTTCTGTAGTCTTGGTGTTTTAAAAAGAACATTAAGGTTAGCTATAGAGTGTTGAGAACTGCATTATGTTCATAAATATGTCATTAACTTAGTTTTTCAAGCCTATTACTTTATTAAAATTATACTCTGCCTGG